TTGTATTTGTTCCTCGTTCTTCGTATATATGATGAATGATTTGTTTATTTTCATTTCTTTACTTACTTGTATCATGCTTTGCATTTGGGGTGGGAAGAATAGTTACTCTAGAACCTTCATGAGTATTTTGTGGTACTTAACCCTTCTCTTAAAATAAGCACTTCATATGAGCATGCATTACTTTTATCCCATTTTTATTTTTCGTGGACGTCATCCCACATTTTCTTATAGGATTAGGATTGATTTCCTTGGATATGCGGATGGTGTGCCTTGCACCCATAGCGGTATCTAGGATATCACTCAAGCTACCAACTAAAGGCCTTGGAATTGATGGCCCTTTGTCTTTTGGTTTGAAGGTTTGGAGAGTTGAAACTTTACCAAATCTAGATGCATTAGTAAATTCCAATCTCATGCATCCATTTAAAAATCACTTAAGATATAGTCTACCTTACCCTATTAGGAACTCTAGACACGATGAGAGAAATTTCACCTTTCTTTACCTTATATTTCTATACTATTTTGTTGTTTTCCAATGTGTTATATGTTATTTATCAACTGAACTAACCTTATTTTTTCTCTTTTTTCTCATTCATAAATTTTAGAAATAAGATTTTTGACATGGTACTCATTTAAAGTAAACAACCTTTTTGGATAGGTTAGTACATTTTTAAATTTCAGTTTATTGCATTAAAAGTATACATTTATTGCATATCATTTTGAGGCATACCCTGGCATTCAAATGGGCCACCATTAGGTCATGTTTTGAGAGTCGTGTTCATATTTATTCACTTTAATAAACTGTCATCATACATTAACCATAGAGAGAATGCCATTTAGGAAATTCTGCACTCGGATATATAATCCAATGAGACTTGCATGTTTACATTTTTTGTATCATCCAAATGGGTAGTGTGACGACCAGACCGGACTGTAGGGCAAACCCTAGGGTTTAGCGGACTTCCTGTTTGACTCTCGCCGGCACTCACTCACTCACATGAACTTGAGAGATAACATTTCATTAACTAAAGCCATTAACAATCCATCATACTTAAGTACAGTCCAAGCAAAATTAAAGTTGTCTTAGTATAAGCCATTTAATATATAAGCATATATATCTCTAGAAGATAGAAGTTAGAATAACTATAACATTTAAGTACAAAAGGAATCTTCCTAGTATAATTTTGGACCTCTGCTTAACTCTTGGCTATACTCCCACTCCCGTCTTTCCCTCTTGTAAGGAAAACAACTAAATGGGTTGAGCAAAGTGTAATGAGGTTTCAAGTAATCAAATAATCTTAAACATACAATTTCACAATTTCAGGAATGTAACAGGAATAACAAATCAATTAATATCAAAGGATAATTCCTGAGACAATTCTTAACAAATAGCACAATCTATATCAAGGGATACAATACTGATACAGACTCTAGAGGTGGCTTCCGTCCATTTCCAAACATAGCACATAGATCCATTCAGTAATTCAATCATCATTTTTTTCCACCAAGTAAGCAGTACCCAACATTCTTCTCCATCAAGTGTTTGGTGATCACCTCAGTGAGTAACACTCGAGTATACTAATACATGGTATTCAAGGATTATCGACCTAATCGACTAAGCCCATTGCTGGCTCGAATGGGCCGTTATGGATGTTTTATTAGCGTATGAACATCAGTCTGGTCAGAAAGTTAACGTCCATAAGAACTGCTTTCTTTCTCAAGGACTCTTCCTTAAGCATATATCTACTGTCTCGGTAGGACAATTAATTTCCAACTACTGGTTCTCAGTAATCATAAATGGATCTCCACAAGGCTTCTTCAAGTTTTCTAGAGGACTACAGCAAGGAGACCCGCTTTCACCGAGCTTGTGACCGTCGATGGGGTTTGGACCCAATAACAGTCATGCACAGTTAACATTAGCAGTTAAACAATGGATAACTCGAAGAGTAATTAGGTTGAGTGTGACAAAATACAGACTCGTCTTTTATAATAACAATTTAAGGTTAAGTCTCAACATATGCACTTAGCAATTTGCAACAATTCACCAAGTAACGAGCAACAACCAGACTTTAACATTTAATCATAAATACATATAAGAAACACTCACCAAGTCAAGTGAAAAGTCATGCCTCAACTTCGAGATTTCCTTCTAACTAACCATCGACTCCTGAGACATACTCAATCTACAATCACTAGACCTTTCGACACTATTATCTTTCTTTCCAAAACTACTAAATTATCTTAGTCAAGTCAAGTAAAATAACACATAAAATTTAGTTTAAAAGGGTTATCAAACATGTGAGTAAAAAGGTATAAAGTTTTGTAACCAAATTCTTTGAAATAATGTTGGAAACCTTACTCTTACTTTCGACTTCTTTTGACAGAATTTTCTCACCAAGATTACTTCAATTTTTTCTCCAAAACCCAGTAAATTTATTCAGGCATGCCATGATTAAAGCATTAAAAGTTTAATGAGCCAAAATATGCAAGTTTGCAGCCAACATTTTAGAGTTAAAACTGAAAAAATGGTGGTTACAATGACTCTCGGGTTTCAAGCAGAAAATTCCATGATGTGATTCTTGACCCACGGGAACCAAGAAGAATGCTCGCGGAAGAAAATCCTAGATCTTAAGAGGAACACGTTGCGGAGTTGACGAAATTCAACTCAAGCTTGGACTACTCAAGAATGGATTCGACGGTAGAGGACGCTACAATCAAGTATGTTGCTTGATTGATAAGTCAAGAAACAACCTAGGTTCAACTCTAGGGTGTTCAACTTACCTCTCACAAGCTAAAGGAAAATTGGTTCAAGAAGACAAATTTCTGGAAATTTTGTTTATTAACATTCAAAAATCGAATTAATACATCAACTTAGGGCTATTTATAGCCTTGTTTAAAGCTAATAAAAGCTGAAAAATAGCTAAATAAAGTTGGCCCACAAGGCCTCTACCCCTTGGCCGAATGTAACCCTAACTAACTACTAAGTGACTAATGTAACTAAGGCCCAATTATTCCTAACCTAAGCTCAACATGAGCTAATTTATTTAGGCCCAATTTAACGTTTAATCATTTGCGCCTTCAATTGTTAGCAACATCTTGGTAGGCTTGTGCGAATCCTTCAAGTCAATTCCCTCAATGTTTGAACATGGTTTCTCTTGAACTTGTACAGCATGAACTAAGGCTTGAAGTGACTCTTTGAACCTCTTAACTCATGCACGTGTCACTGGCCCTTGAGGAACCTTCACGGGGTCTATGTGGACACCATGGCCAGCTTGCTCACTCGCATCATTCCCCTCCTCTTCAGAAGGATTTGCCCTCAAATCGTGTTCATCCCCTGCAAGAAATGGACTTAGATCAGCAACGTTAAATGTAGCACTTACATTATACGCACCGGGAAGATCTAAGCGATATGCATTGATGCGCTCAAGGACTTGGAAAGGACCATCTCCCCTTGGTGACAACTTGCTTTGGCATTGCTTGGGAAATCTTTCCTTACGCAAGTGTAACCATACCCAATCACCATGTTCAAAAATAAGCTTATGCCTAGTCTTGTTAGCTTGTTGGACATATTAGGTGGTTCTCTTCTCTATGTTGGTGCGAACCTTCTCATGCAATGACCTCACAAAATCAATTTTCTTCTTGCCATCTAAGTTCACATGCTCAAAAAAAAGTAATGGCAACAAATTTAAAGGAGCTAAAGGATTAAAACCATACACAACTTGAAAAGGTGAAAATTGTGTAGCACTAGGCACTGCCCTATTGTATGCAAACTCTACATGAGGTAGACACTCTTCCCACATCTTAAGATTTTTCTTTATAATTGCATGCAAGAGTGTTGACAAAGTTCTATTTACTACCTCAGTTTGGCCATCCGTTTGAGCATGACTAGAAGTAAAAAATAACAATTTGGTTCCCAACCTACCCTACAAAGATTTCCAAAAATAACTTAAGAACTTAACTTCCCTATCTGACACTATAATCTTAGGTATACTGTGCAAACGAACAACTTCTCTAAAGAACAAATCAACAATGTGCAAGGCATCATCTGTTTTATGACATGCAATAAAGTGAGTCATTTTGAAAAACCTATATACTACAACAAAGATAGAATCATGTCAACGTTTAAATCGGGGTAAGCCAAGTACAAAATCCATGGAAATGTCAACCCAAGGTTGGTTAGGTATAGGTAAGGGAGTATACAAACCGTTAGGGTTAACTTTTGACTTAGTTTTATGGTACACTCCACACCTTCCAACAATCCTCTCCACATTCTTGCGCATGTGTGGTCAATAGAAATGTTCCTGCAAAATGGCTAAAGTCTTGGAAACACCGAAGTGTCTCATTAAGCCACCACTATATGATTCCCTAATAAGTAAGTCACATATAGAACTACGAGAAATGCAAAACTTAGTAAGATAAAACACGAAACCATCATGCACATAGAATTTGTCAAATTCGGTCTTGCCACAATTCACATAGGCATTCGAAAAATTCACATCATCCTTATATAATTCTTTTATAAGTTTAAATCCTAGGAGTTTAGCATCCAATGCAGTTAGCAAAGTATGTCTTCGAGATAAAGCATCAGCCACAATATTAGATTTACATGTCTTGTATTTGATGACATATGAAAAGGACTCTATGAATGCAACCTATCGGGCATGCCTTTTGCTCAATTTTTGTTGTCCCTTTAGGTGCTTGAGAGATTCATCGTCAGTTTTGATAATGAACTCCCTTACACATAGATAGTGCTACCAAGTCTCCAATGCGTGCACTAGAGCATACAACTCCTTATCATAGGTGGAATAATTGAGAACCGATCCATTTAACTTTTCACTGAAGTAAGCAATTGATTTTTCTCCTTGCATAAGTACGGCTCCAACACCTACACCTGATGCATCACATTCAACTTCAAAAGTTAGGTCAAAATTAGATAACACAAGAAGTGGTGCATATGTGAGTTTGTGCTTGAGTAATTGGAAAGCCTTATCTTGTGCTTCTTCTCAAAAGAACTTTCCATTCTTCTTCATGACCGCGGTGAGTGGTGCTACAATAGTGTTGTAGTCCTTCACAAAGCGGCGGTAAAAACTGGCTAAACCATGAAAACTGCAGGCGTTACTGACAGAGGTAGGTTTCGGCCACTCTTGAATGGCTTTGACCTTCTCTTTATCTACGTGAATTCCCTGTGCACTAATTACATACCCTAGAAATACCAGACGATCAATATAAAATGCGCACTTCTTAAGATTGGCGTATAGCATCTCTTTTCGAAATATTTCAAAAACAAATTTGAGGTGCACAAGATGTTCCTCTAAACTTCTAGTATAGATAAGAATATCATCAAAATAGACCACAACAAATTTTTCAAGGAAAGATCTCAAAACATGGTTCACTAAACGCATGAAGATACTCGGTGCATTAGTTAAATCAAAAGGCATGGAAACCACTCATATAAACCATGTTTAGTTTTGAAAGCGGTTCTCCACTCATCTCCTTTCTTCATTCTTATTTGGTGGTAACCACTTTTCAAATCAATTTTAGTAAAAATAATGGCACCATGCAATTCATCCAACATATCATCTAACCTAGGGATAGGGTGACGATATTTTTTCATGATGGCATTTACTGCTCTACAGTCGGTGCACATTCTCCAAACTCCATCTTTCTTTGGCACGAGAATCACATGTACAGCACATGAATTTAGATTTTCTCGACCCCAGCCTTTCCTTAGCAATTTCTCCACTTGCCTTTGTAATTCCTTCATTTCTTCCGGTCCCATCCTATAGGCGGGTTTGTTAGGCAGTGGAGCTCCCGGAATGAGGTCAATTTGATGTTCGATCCCTCGTAGAGATGGTAACCGATCTGACACATCCTCTGGGAATATGTCTTCGAACTCCTGCAAAAGGGATAAGACATTGGTAGGCAAGGAGTTAGTAAGTATAGATGATATGACCAACTCTTCCTTGCACATAAGTACGAGTAAGAGTTGGTTGGAAGACAAAGCTCGCTTTATATCTTTGGCTTTTACTAGTAAGCTTAGCTTCCCTTTATTATCCTCTCCCTTGGCCGACCCTATTGCTGCCTTTTTCCTTCCTAAGGGTTCGACCCTACTCTCCCTCTTTTCTTCCTCACTTTTCTCTCGCTTTTTCCTCTCCAGTTCTAACTCATATTCCTTTTGGAGTCTCATTTGATTTTCATACACTTGTTTTGGGGCGAGGGGTACAAGAGTTATTTTCCTATTACAATGCACGAATACATATTTGTTTGCTCTTCCCTTGTACTCAACATCTTTGTCATATTGCCAAGGTCGTCCAACTATGATGTGACTTACTTGCATCGGTACAACATCATACAACATCACGTGTGACTTCATCTTCATACTTCCCAATTCAAACTGGCACATTCGCTTGTCTAAACACACGAACATCTCCTTCATTGTTTAACTATTGAAGGCAATAAGGTTTTGGATGCTTGATAGTCGGAAGCCCTAGCTTTTCCACCATGAGTAGACTAGCTACATTGGTACAACTCCCACTATCAATGACAACACTATAAACCTTATCCTTGATGTGAAACCTAGTGTAAAAAAGGTTGTCCCGTTGTGCCTCAATCTCCTCCTCCTTCGCTCGAGTAGTGAGGACCTTTCGAACTACCAAACAGCCAATCTCCTCATGAGTAGATAACTTGTCACTTGAATCGTCCTCTTCCTCAACAAGAGATGGCATCCCTTCACATTCTTCCTCCTCTTCAGAGACAACTTTCCCATTCGGCAATATGAGCATGATACGTTGATTGGGGCATTGAGATGCAATGTGACCAAAGTCTTGACACTTAAAACATTTAGTGTCTCGGCCACGTGGCTTGGAAACTTTAACATTGCCTTTTTGTTCAACCCTTGCGTTCGATTTTGGGGAGAAATCATTTGTCCTTAGTGGGTTTGACGAAGTCGTGGCCTTCTACTCCCTCTTGGATTACGAATTTTGCCAATTTTCAGATTGATACGTAAAGTCTTGGTGTGCATTACGCCACCTTTTGAGACGCTGTTCTACGGTCACTGCCTTTTCTAGCATCTCATTCATGTCGAGATAGTGTTGGAACTCCACTACTTTGGCAATCTCAGGCCTCAGACCGTGCAAAAATCGAGCCATGATAGCTTCTACATCTTCACGTAAATTAGCCTTCATGATGGCCATCTCCATCTCCTTGTAGTAATCTTCAATGGACATGGATCCTTGAGTGAGAGCTTGTAGCCTACGGTATAAGGCTTTGCTATAGTAGCTAGGCACAAACCTCTTCCTCATCAAGCTCCTCATCTCTTTCCAAGTCTCCACGGGTCTCTCTCTATTTCTTCTCCAGCTAAGACGTAATTGGTCCCACCAAATGGATGCATAGTCTGTGAATTCCACGGCTACAAGTTTCACTTTTTGTTCCGCTGTGTAAGTGTGGCATTCATAAACCAACTCAATTTTCCTTTCCCATTCCAAGTACGCCTCGGGGTCCGAATTGCCTTGGAATGAGGGAATTTTGAGTTTAACACCTTTAATGGCATCACCCCCTCGCCTTTGGAACCTTTGGTCAGTTTGGTACCTCCCTTCAAATAGTTCCTCCTCATTATTGGAGTATGCGAATTCCTTTCCCTTGCTCAAACTAGGTGGATGTTTAGAATTTCCAATTGATCAATCCTTTCATGCAAAGGTTCAATGGAGCTTTTAAGCATTCTTTGGAACTCCCCCATCATGGCCTCCATGTGCAATTTAATGTCCATTGTTTGGTCACCAACTCCACTAGACATGCTTGGGTATACCTGCATAAAGACAAACAAACAAAAACAACTTCCCTCTATTTTCTTTTCATTTTTTTTCACTCACGCTCGTGTTTTCACTCAAGTAATTGCTCCCTAACAATCTCACCAAAACAATTCCTTAGGCTTGCTAAATGGCCGAGTTGAACAAGCTAGGAATCACCGTAAGGTTAGTTTCTTGACTAGTCAACAAGTGCCACAAATTTGCAGCAATGATAGAGATGAATGAGGAATTAGAACGTGATATAGGACTTAGATTATAGCTGAAAACAAATTAGTGACTCAATAGAAAGTGTAACAAATGACTTCAAAGCTGAAATTTTCGAAATTCCTAGAAACACTCTACCCGACAACCGGATTTCTAGAATTTCTTTGAGTTACCGTTTCTCTGATTTTTGGTCAGTAATTTGTAGTGTTTTTTGTGCTCTTAGGGTGCTCAAATGATATGCAAATTGGTCCTCAAATCTTAACCAAATCAGGTTGGAAACAAGGCTCAACCGACTTAGGAGGTTCCAGGATCAAAGGCGGTTGGTGTTTGGCAGGTTAGAGCTGCTTTGAAACTGAATTTGGGTGTTTGGGGGCTGTTTATGTCGAATGGGGGTGTCTAAGGGTGATTGAGTGTGCATGGAATATGGTGTTGTTAGGTTTTCTTGACCACAATCTAATAAAAGATATTCTAGGTTAGATTTGATCCAAGAATGGGGTTTGATCAAGATTTGGAAACCTTAGACTTTGATCAGATATGGAAACTTGGAGTTGATCAAGATTTGGAAACCTTAGAGTTTGATCAGATTTGGAAACTTGGAGTTGTTCAAGACTTGGAAACTTGGAGTTTGATCAAGATTTGGAAACCTGGTTTCTTGCTTGAGCTGATTGTTCTTTCTCCTTTTTTTTGTCTTTTTCATTTCTTTCTTTTCTTGTTTGTTCAACCTTTGGCTCTTCAAGAAATACAATTTCAAGTCCAATTGCTCTTCAATTGAAGATCAAAGTCCAATAAGATCAAGGACAGGATGAAGGTTATTTAAGTTTCAAGAAAACCCTAGTTCTTGACCTAATGCTCCAAGAACTCTCAAGCAGGTTTTGGTACTCCAAGAACTTCCCCAAATTGTGTTGTGGTATCCAAGATTCACAAGAACAGCACCCAAAATTCAAGAAACAACGCAAGACAAAATTTGGCAATGCTCAACAGAAATTCCAGCAACTTTGAACACGAAAATTAGGTACGTAACCTTTCTTCTTTTTTTTTGACTCAAACAACCTTAACACAAACTAGACCAAACTCACGATGAAATTTGGACAGAAAACTCATGCAAACAAAGACTAGAAATTCGGACAGCAACTAAAATAACAAAATAGAAATTCGGACAACAACTAAAATAACAAAACAGAAATTCGGACATGACACAAGAATTTCCCCACGATCCAAGACAAAAACCCTGGCATCTAGCCACGGATTTGGAGGATACAAACTGACTCAATAACAAGAAAAAGGGATATACATGATACCTCTTACTAGCTTTGATTATCAACTGATGTGATTCTTGATCCACGGGAACCAAGAAGAATGCACGCAGAAGAAAACCCTAGATCTTAAGAGGAACACGTTGTGAAGTTGATGGAATTCGACCCAAACTTGGACCACTCAAGAATGGATTCGATGGTAAAGGACGCCACAATCAAGTGTATTGCTTGATTGATAAGTCAAGAAACAACCTAAGCTCAACTCTAGGGTGTTCAACTTAGCTCTCACAAGCTAAAGGAAAATTTGTTCAAGAAGACAAATTTCTGGAAATTTTGTTTATTAACGTTCAAAAACTGAATGAATATATCAACTTAGGGCTATTTATAGCCTTGTTTAAACTTAATAAAAGCTAGAAAATAGCTAAATAAAGTCGACCCACAAGACCTCTACCCCTTGGCCGAATGTAACCCTAACTAACTACTAAGTGACTAACGTAACTAAGGCCCAATTATTCCTAACCTAAGCTCAACATGAGCTAATTTGTTTAGGCCCAATTTGATGTTTAAGCTTGATCATTTGCGTCTTCAATTGCTAGCAACATCTTGGTAGGCTTGTGCGAATCCTCCAAGCCAATGCCCTCAATGCTTGAGCATGGTTTCTCTTGAACTTGTATGGCGTGAACTAAGGCTTGAAGTGACTTTTTGAACCTCTTAGCTTGTGCACGTGTCACTAGCCCTTGAGGAACCTTCACGGGGTCTATGTGGACACCATAGCCAGCTTGCTCACTCGCATCATTCCAAACATTACCATTCAAATTTTCTCTTATAGCTTTTAGATTTAATACACCAAAACTTGGCATAAACCTACACTAAGGCATATCGTAAGAATTTACAATAAAATAGCATCAAATTTTTTAAATAATGGCTGAAATTTAACCATGGTTCAAAGTTGGAAAATTTTCATCCAAAATAGGTTACATGCATGTTGATTTCTAACCAAATCTCAACTTTCTTTCTTGATTTAAGCATAAATTAGACAATGTATCAATAGGCGACTATAAAGCATCATTCTCCTAGAAAAATCTCAACAAAAGTGGAAGCTACAAGCTGGAAATCATAGCTCACATCCTGCGGTTTAGGTTGGAAAATTCCAACAAACTTTCTTCATTTTTTCTCACCAAAACAATACCCTTCTTACTCACTTTCAACCATAAATCACAGAATAACATGCTTATAACATAAGGTGAGGCATTAATGAAGCATTTTCTGGCAAAACTCAACAAAACTACAACTAAGAGCTGAAAATTCAAGCTTTCTCTATGGCTCAAAGTTGGAAAAATTTCCAGCAAGAAGACAGTTTGTTAAACAAAATTTTCTCCAATAAAACTCTTTATTTTTCACTCAAATCCAACATGCATGTGAAGATCAATGTGTTATAAGGTATATTGAACAACAATCTGAAATTTTGCAGCCAAAAATTCACGAAGAAAACTGGAAAATTCTCTCTCCCTCACTCGGCCAATCAAACAAGTTTTCTAGCAGTTCCTTCAAACTTTTTCCATTCAAGTTATCAACTTTCCACTAGATTCAAAGGTAAATATACTATATCATGCAAAGCAAGAAATAAGACATATATCATGCATTTCTAGTACAAATTCCTCCAAAATTTTGGAGGAAAAGCTGTGGAACAAAGCTCTCTTCCTCTTGGCCAAAACAGAAAATATCCAGTAGGCAATCAGTCTTAAGCAGGGTTTTTCTTCGACAAAACTCTCTTTTCTTAGCTCAAATTCAACATGCAACAAGAGTACTCAAGAGTATTAGAAGCATGAGGGGTTTTATAGTAATTTTTACCTCCCTTTTCCTCACAAATGAAAGCTAGAAAAAATGCAGACAGCTTCACTTCCTCTCCCTCAATTTCTCATGGATGAAATGCACCAAGATTTCTCTATTTCTTCCCCTCAGTACAGCTGATTGGGACACAAGGAAGTTGAAATTTTCTACCTCACTCTCAACTCTCTCTTGTCTTGAAGTGAAATAAAGAAAATGGAGCAATCTTCTCCCTTTCTCTCTTGGGTACAATCAAAAGAAAGACACCACAAAAATGTCGGTTTGAATAAGCTTTTGTCTTGGTTAGGGATGCAAACGAGCCGAATCGAGTTGAACTTTGGCCTAATTGAACTGAATCTTGACTTAGTTTTATCAAGCTCGAACTCAAAATCGAGCTCGAAAAAATAAAACATAAATATTTTATTTTTAAAAAATAAATAAAATAATATTTTTTCTTAATAAATAATAAAATATTAGAAATATATATGTAATTTTACTATTAAAATAAAAAATATATATACTTGAGCTTGCGAGTTGGATCGCGAGCTAACGAGTTTAATATTTTTTATCTCGAGTTCGAGTGCAAATTTGATTTAGCTAATTTGAGCTCGACTCGAGCTCGATATTCATAGAACTCGAATTGAGTTTGACTTAAGCCACTCGAGAGTAGTTCGATTCGTTTGCAGTCTTAGT